GTGTGTTGTTGTTATTCAGCCTGGTTCAATGTGCCCCTTTTTAACTTTGAGCACCCGCCCCTTTAAACCTCTCTGCACGGCCCTGGTAGTGTGTATGTGTACTCGGAGGTATTTATAGTCCTCCACATGAAGAAAGTTCTTTTAATGTGCTCCTGGCAGCATGAGGAGCCCACGCACGTGCTCCTCTCTTTATTTATTTTACTGAAGCATCTGAAACATCATCACACACAAACTGTCAGTGTGCAGTTTGGAGGACGACAATCTCCAGCTTTGTTTTCATTCACACTGATCTCAGGAACGTAGCGTTTCCATTTCATATTTCTATATTACCAGATATTAATGAGATTTTGTTGTATTTTTGTAATATTAAAATATTATATGAATTTCTCTTAAATTTGCAGCTTGTTTTATAAGTTTGTCCATGTTTAAATGAAGTGTTTTTAATTCTAGTAAATTCACCTGTTTGTTTTTTCCGCATAAATTCCATGCTCTAAAAAGTACTTTAATTTGATCTTGTTCTTATAAGTTTGGGAATTTTTCTTATAATTCTTCAATTTTCACCATTTTTTCCCAAAAAAAAAATTTTGCCAAGTTTTTTTTTTTTTCTTGTAAACTGGACACTTGTTTTTCTCTGCAGAAAGCAGATTTTTCTTTAAGTTTTTTCTCCGAAATTCCAAATAACCTTGAAAATACTGAAACTGGTCCCTTAGTTTTTCCTTCAGTGTGTCTGATATCAGTTGTTGTTAGTTTGCATCTACAAATTTTACAGTTACGGATCCACTACAGTCCTTGAAGGCAGCACTGCCGCAACTGAGGCAGAATATCCCACAGTCCGTGAATGTGGCGGCGCCCCGAGGAAAGAAATAAACATGGCGGAAGCGGTGAGTGTGTGACAGATCGGCTGGTGCTTTTTTAGTGATGAAACGTTACTGAAATCATGAATGTTGTGTTTAATTAGAGGGTTAGGGGCCTCCTGATTAGACCTACAGGAAGACGGAGGTGAGCAGCTTTGGCGGAAAGTCAGTTTAAATCGACTAACTGTGCGTTAGCGGGACGTTAGCTAACGTTAATCAGAGCGCTTCAAAATAAAAGCCCGGTGTACTTTCGCTTTGTTGTTTCTCCCGGTGGCGTTAAGATAACAGAAAAACTGCGCCGAGGATCGCTGAAAGCTTTTTGCGAGGTTGAACTACAACCCAGCTCTGCTTTTAAACAAATTTAATCACTTTTAAACTTCTTGTTGATGTTTGGTTTGTTTTGGGGTCAGTTACGCAAAACAACAGACGGTGCACGAGACAGGTGGAAGTACCGGTACAGGCAGGTGGAGAGCAGCGAGAGGGGGGAGAAGCTGTAACGTGGTTTGAAGACGGAGGAGGCCGAGCTGAAGATGTTGGACAGCA